TAAGTGCATGCACTTAGCGCGGTTGCTCTTAAACCTTGGGTCGCGACCCAAAACTGGGTGGCCAAGCCATTTTGAGTGAGTCGCCAAGGGTCTCCAGTGACTTCCGAACTTTCCTTTGTAGTCCAACAGTGGTTACGCCAAGGAGGTGTATTTGAAGACATGGGTCGACGTATTAGCCAAAAAACGTTAAGAACCACTGACTTAACAGGTATATTTCTGATTTCTACATGTTTAATGCGGATTTTATATTGAACAAAAATAGATGGTATTCAGTGAGCGCGTTTTTTTTTTCTTCTACACTTGCTTAGGGAACCAATGGAACTTTCCAGTTATTTCTGGAAGATGATAATGAGGTATTTGATGTTACACCATCAGAGGGCGTAAATGAAGTGTCGTTTTTAATACGAGTCAAGCGGCCAACAGCTTTAGACTATGAAAGAGTAAAAGTTATGAATTTCAAGGTAAGTCATGATATTAGTTCTGGGAAATCTTGTATACTCCATCAACAATTAATTTTAACTTTCGATCAGAGCAAGATCCAAACTAAAAATCGACCCTGTAATGAGTATAGCTAATCAAATATACCTTTCTTACGCTCTTACTTAAAATTATTATTTACAGAATGTACTTTTGTGAGTTAGCTAACAAAGCTTAACAAATAAAATCCCTTATATTAAAGCCCGGCATGGCCAGGTGGTAAGGACTCGCAATCTGCGGATTCGAATCCCCGTCCCACCAAACATGCTCGCCCTTTCAGCCGTGGGCGTTATAATGTGACGGTCAATCCCACTATTCGTTGATAAAAGAGTAGCCCAAGAGTTGGCAGTGGGTGGTGATGACTAGCTGTCTTTCCTCTAGTCTTACACTGCTAAATTAGGGACGCTAAGTTAGATAGCTCTCATGTAGCTCTGCGCGAAATTCAAAGCAAACAAACCTTTATATTAAGAGCTACATTCACCAAACCTTCACCAATGAACTGCATTTTTTAAAACTTAAAAAACTTCATATTTGTTCTACAAATATCCAGGTAATAGCTAGAGAAACTGTTTTTGTGTCGCCGAAATCCAGTAGTGCTGACGTCACCATCTACATCCGGGACACGAACGACAACTTTCCAGAATTCTCGAAAGATCTATATCGAGGTTCTATTCCAGAAAATGCTCAAAAAGGAACCACTGTTGCTGTCATCAAGGTATGTATGTTTGTTTATTCATCCCTGTCGTTTTCCAAACACAAGTGTTGCAGCAACATGCAACGTTATGTATCAGAACAAAGAAAAATTGAGTTTCGTTTTTAAACACGATAGTGTTATTTATAATGTGGAATTGACAGATTACACGTGGATGTAAATAATTTTAACCTTTTACAAAAACAGAGAATAAGACTCATTCCTTACAAAATTCATAAAGACCTAGTAAGTGCCTTGGAAAAATTTGTTATTTATTAAAAGCAAAATTACAATGATTACAATTTTAAGTTCAGCTGAGACTGAATTAGAAAACAATAGGTGGCGTCAGCGCCGGATTTAGGAGGGGGGGGACAAATGTGTGCAATTGCCCTGGGCTCCTTGAATCGAAGGAACTTAAGACTAAAATAATATATATATATATATATATACAAACTAAATGTCTCAATTAAAAACATAGGTTGTGTCACCATGGCAACAGTATTTTATAATGAAACATTGTTAAGCAAATATTCAGTAAAACTATTTACTTATTAAAACGCATACATATGTATGACTGAAGATATTCCTATCATAACCAAATAAAAACTGGGTATACCATGTGTGTGTGTATATATTTGTCATAATATCTAAATCGTTATCTGTGAATTTCATGTTTACTAATGACAATTTTGCCCACTCATTGATATTTCAACTCAATCAATTTAAAATATTTTTTGCACTATACGCAAAAGAAAGAAATACCAGGTAAAGCTGTGTTCTTGAAACCTCCAGGTAAAACATTATCTCAGCATTAATGAAAATCACAGGTGTACCTGATGAAGGTTATTCATCAGGTACACTGTATTTTATTATAATGTTTTCCAGGTTATTCATCAGGTACACTGTATTTTATTATAATGTTTTCCAGGTTATTCATCAGGTACACTGTATTTTATTATAATGTTTTCCAGGTTATTCATCAGGTACACTGTATTTTATTATAATGTTTTCCAGGTT